ACAATTTGTTAATTATTGAAACTGCCCTACCAATTTGATTTGAAACTGTCTCATTGCTATTTGTTTATCAATAAAATTATGGGAAAATCTGTAAAAAGAAAAAAAAAAAAAAAAAAAGGAAGTAAACATTTGTGGAATGTTTGGTAAGCATAAACTGTGGTTGTCCATAAATAAGTTATAACAGAATTAGAATTGAGAGGACCATGAGATGGCTTGCATCAGGAGTTCATCAGCCCCCAAGGAACTTCAGGATTGCCCACCTGAGGATTCCAGGTTTGTTAGTTTCTTAAGGCCACAATAACAAGCCATCACAAATTATGTGGTTTAAAACCACAGGAATTATCCTCTGAGTCTTAAAAGACCAGTGTTTTGGAACTAAGGTGATATCAGGACCAGGCTTCCTATGAAGGTTCTAGGGTAGAATCAGTGTTTCCAGCTTCTGGTAACTTCTTGAGACAGCTGAATGCTGGACCTGTAGCTGTCATTCTGATTGCTGCCTGTTGTCAGATGGCCTTCTTCAAAGGATACAAGTCACTAAATTTAAGGCCTACCCTAACTCATTTAACCTCCTCTACAGATCATATGCAACGTGGAAAATATTCAGCTAGTACAGGGATTTTTAATTTTTTATTCTTTTTAATGAGAGAAAAAGATAAAATAGCAATGAAATAATTTCAATAGATTAGTAGGACAGTTACAATATACTGCATAATTTTTTTGAAAAAGATCTTTATGTATGTATGTATTTGGTTGTTGCAGGGTCTGACTCTACAGCTTGGACTTGGGGGTCTTCCTGTTTTCAGCCTTCCCAGCACTGGGATTACAGGTGTGAGCCACACTACTTAGCCTGTTCTGGGGGGGTGGGGCTGGCATGGCATGTGGTGCTGGGGATCTAACCAAGGTCCCTGCACTGGCCTAAGCAGGTGCTGTAGTCTGCTGAGCTATCTCACCAGCCCCTAAAAATGGTCTTTAATAAAAAGTAGTTTTTCTTTCCCTTCCTTTTCTTTCCTTACCCTCCCTCCCTCTCCTTTCCACCCTCCCACCTTCCCTTTGTTTGCCCTCCATCCCTCCCTTCCTTTTGTAATAGGCCCTTGCACAGGCAAGGTAAAGGTTATATCATGGCTTCATGAATCTCCTACCCAAGATTTCTCTAAATATATAAAATATCCCTAGTTCCGCCAAAAAAAAAATATATATATATAACATGAAATTCACTTTCCTGACATTAGTTTACAGTCTCTTGTGTTTAAGGAGTGAGTCACTTGTGTGTCCCCAAAACATAGTGGTTTAAAAATAGTAATCATGGGCCAGCCAGATAGCTCAGCGGATTAAAGCGCCTGCTTAGGCAGACACAGGGACCGGGGTTCAATCCCCAGCATGCCGTGCTAGCCCTACCCCGAGTGGTGCACTGAGACTGGGCATGGTGGCACACACCTATAATCTCAGCACTTGGGAGGCTGAAAAGGAGGATCACTACAAGTCTGATCTGTGTAGAGAGAGCCTGTACTAAATACATTAAAAAGGGAAAAAAGTAATAATTTTACTGATTCTCCTGAGTCTGGATAGACTGCGCTCAGTGGGGAGTTCTGATGCTGCAAATGGTGTGGTCAGGCTTCAGTCTTGTGGATCCTGATCAGAGCTCACATCGAAAACATGTCTTCAGCCCCTCGAAGGGGACAACTGAAAGGCTAGACTTAGCTGGCACTCTCTCCCCATGAAGATTCAGGTGACATCTCACAGCTATGTGGTCTTCATTCCTTTTTCTTTGCATCTGATGAGCAACTGTCATTATTTTGGTTATATGTCAGATGTCCTGTAACTTTTAAGTTTACTGTCCTTACTTTAATCAAACCAAAGAGATAACTAGCTTCTCTGGATTATAGCCTCTACTGGGCAAGTGATCACAGTTGGCTCAGTTAGGATAGGTGTTAGGGGCAGGATGTCAGAGGTTTATGTGGAGCTGACGAGGGGCAAGGCCCAGGAGCATGGTTGTTCATCCTCCGGCGAGTGTCAGCACACTCTGCAGGATGTTGCCAGTGTGTGAGCTGTTTGTGATGGTTCTGCAAGCATGATGTGGAGTTTACACTTCAAATTGCTGTGGTAGCAAGTAGATGGAATAATTTGTGTTCCCAGTATATGATTTTTCTTTGCTTATATTTAAAAAAATAACTGAGGCAGAGGTTGGGAAGATGAAAGAACCACTGGCCTAGAAATATCTTAAGAAAATGTGATTCACCTAAGTGAGCAGAGTGTAGTTCTGAGGCAGTGCAGCCCAATCATTTGTTCACAGGAAGAAGAGACAGAGACTGAGTATCTACAGTCATCCTATCATTTGCTCATAGGTGTTGCTGGGCCTGCGTGATACCAGCAGTTCCATTGTGGCAGTTACTCTCCACAGCCTTGCAGTGCTGGTCTCTCTCCTTGGACCAGAAGTGGTTGTGGGTGGACAGAGAACGAAGATCTTCAAACGCACTGCCCCAAGTTTTACTAAAATGACTGACCTTTCCCCAGAAGGTAAGCAGGATTAAAAGCTATAGGTATTTTTTGTATGCTATCAGATATTCAAGCATTTTACATATAATACAGGTTTATACTCAGTTAAATAACAGATAAAAATTAGTTTTCCAACTCTTTATACGAGATTGAACAAAATGAAGATAACCTTTTAAGTCCACAAAAATGTATGTTCACAGATGTATTTATCTAGGATTCTCCTTGTAAGTAGTATCATGCACAAATCTACAACTTAATTTCATGTAGCAGCCTATTAGGGACTTGTCTCTAGGTCAATTCATAGAAATCTTAAGTGACTTTTTCATAACCACATAGTGTTTCATTGAATAAAGCTTTCAGTGATACACTTCTTCATGTACATTATATCAATTTCTGGATTTCTAGTACTGTGAAGTGCTACAGTAAATATCCTTATACCCTTATACCTTTAAGTATTTGGGGTTTCATTGCTATAGAATATCTACAGTGGGGTAATTTCACTCACTTAAATGTTAGGAGTGGAACCTTTTGCTGATTTAGCATGTAAAACTGTCCTAATCATTAATCCCTAACTCTCAAAGCCACAAACTGCACCCCTCTCATCATACAAAAACCTCTCATTTGCTGTTTATTATAATGCGCTCAGAGACAGGTAACAGTGCCACACCAAATCTTTCCAAGCTTCCCAGGCCATACTGACACTGATTTCATTAGTATTATGGAATAACTGAACTTGGAACACTTCAAGAAGCCAAGGCTGCTACAAAGATTTGACTGACACCAAAATTAGAGAAAAGCTTGTATACTACCTCTTTTCTGCTAGTAAGTCCCCATCCTGACTACTGATACCATCTATAGATCTGAATTGGATAGCTAGAATTCATAACCAGGTCACTGTCCTATTCAGAATATATGAAAGAACAATAACAAATGACCCAATTGAAACAAAATTCTTTTAAGAACAGAAATTACAGTGCTACATCCTTAGGAACATCTGATGGGAACATACAGGAAAGATTTTCTTGAGGTACCTACAGATCAAAAGCTTTACTAATAGGCCAATAAAATCAAAAGAATTGGATACCTAGATTGGAAAGAATATATAAAACCTTTTTTGAGAACAAAGAGCTGCTTAGGGCCTGTTACCACATTTCCTTCCCCTCTTGAAGACAAGAGAAGGAATACAACTAAAATCCTTTTGACCAGTTCCCAGTCTTAAAGACATGCTTGCACATTAGTCCCCCCACTTCCCCACACTTGGGGCTGGGGTTAAGTATTTACAGCATAAATTTACTGTTTTTAACTGTGTGATTTTGTGATATTAAAGTTCGTATCATTAGGGGTATATTCTTATTCTTGAAAGGAGAATTAACTTGTGGCTGTAAATCACCACCAGAATATTTTAAAGGCTATAACTTCTTAATAAGGTATCATAATGCTTTCCTATCCCATCATGGACATACTGTTCTTAAATACAGAATGGTCAGGAATGTTTCTTCACATATTTGAAGATGTTCTCTTAGCTGTGTTAAGTATGTCTATTTGTGGTAGCTATTCCCCACTGACATATAGTAGATCATAGCCATTTACTATCACTGTCATTATTTGGAGTTTTTATTTTTACCTTCAGATTCTCCCAGGCATGTGGTCTGCAGCCAGCACAGTCAGATCTTGCCCAACTTGGAGAGTCCCTCCTCTAGCACATTCCCAAAAGGTTTCTCTTCTGGCAACTTTGCCATCAACAGCAAGGAGCACATACAGCGAGATTACTACAGTACTTGTTTATACACAGGTACAAATACTAAATTTATAGATTTCTTTCTATGGTTTACATCAATGTTTTTCTGAAACTTCCTAAGTTTAAATTCTAAAACTTAGGGGTACTGTGGGAATTCTGACTCATTTCTTGTTTGCAGTGCTACCAGCTTTGGTCTCAGGCTCTCCTTTCAGACTGTTGTGTATGTGCTTAACCCTTCCTGACAGCTGATGAGTTCACATTACTTGAATTCCTTTTTTACACCATATACTTTACTTTGGAACTTCTGATACTTTAATGTCTTAATTCTCAAAGATGTTAACAGTCATGTTATGAAAAAAGTGGTTTTTGTTTGAATATATTTGGGTAGTGGTAGGAGAGTTACCACCTTGCACAGGATTTCTCAGCACCTTGAGTTAAGCAACTATTTGATCACATGTTTTTTTTAAGGTGTATGTAATGCACAACTTCAAAGTAACACTGCCTGGCCTACAGCATTTGTGTATTTACTGGCAGTTATGCCAGTAAGCAAATATTGTATAAACATTAGAAAGTAGTATTTGGATAACTTAACATCTTTATGTCTAGAAGATTCAATTTCTAAGTAATAAGTCCATATACTTTAGTGCTGTCCTTCTTCTAGTTTGTTCTTAACCAGCATTTTATGAGAATAATTTCTGTACATATCATCACAGGTGATCAGTTTTCTCAGTCTATTAAATTTCCGATGAATGGAATCTCAGATGTGAAAAACACTTCAGGGGACACTGAAAATTTCTCATCAGACCCTAAAAAGTCTGAGGAGTGGCCTGACTGGAGTGAGCCTGAGGAGCCGGAGAGCCACACTGTCAACATGCACATTTGGCCTAAAGAGCCCTGTGACACTACTGGGTCCCCATGCACTGACCCCACTGCAGAAGCAGAGGCTTGGGAAGACTCTGCACCTAGCAGCTCAGGACCCAGCGACTCTGTGCCAGTGCCCCATACCACTGAGGAGCACAAGTCCATTCCTGCTTTGCCTCCACTCGAACTAGCTAAACCTCTGGAGTCAACTGTACCCCCAAACATACAAAACAGAGAAGACCAAGACCAGAACAAGTCACCAAAAGGGCTGTCACAACAAAGACCTCTTAGAGTTCAGTCAGAACTTGGTTTAGGAGAAGAGTTTACCATACAAGTTAAAAAGAAGCCAGCAGAAGATCCTGAGTTGGACTGGTTTGCTGATATGATCCCAGAAATAAAGCCTGCAGCTGCTCTTCTTATTTTACCTGAACTGAGAACAGAAATGGTTGTCCCCATCAAGGATAATATTTCACCAGTGATGCAGTTTTCCTCAAAATTTGCTGCAGCAGAAATGACAGAGGTGAGGACTTCTGGGGTATATCTACTGTGCAGTTAATGGATTTCCCTAATAGATTCTCTAATAAACAACATGTTTTATCAAAAGAGGAAAAGACTACACAGCTGGTTAAAATTATTAAGCCAAACACAGAATCAGCAAATTCAGTTTCTAGAAATAGGATATCTTCCTTTCCTTAAAAAATGTACAATGAATGCATGGGTGTTTTCTTAGAATAAGCTTTTACCCCCATATTGATTTTATTAGATTATGAGGTTGTTTGCTATGATTTGTAATTCTGGACCTTAAGTTTCCAGTTACATTCTTAATTGACTTAGCAGGAGGCAGCGTAGTCTGGCATAAAAAGTGCTAGATTATCTGTACAATCTTATGTCTTTAAACAGGCATAAAACTTGTCTCAGTGGTTTGCTTTTCTTGCAGGGAGAGGCTGAAGGCTGGGGAGAAGAAGGGGAGCTGAACTGGGAAGATAGTAACTGGTGACAATGGACATGAGTTCAACTTTAGGAAGAATTCCTCTTTAAAAAGAAAAATGAATACCTCAGATGCAGGCTGTATGGACACATACACAAAAAAGAAAAACCAAAGCAGCCTCTTTCTCTGTCCCAGGAGCCCTTGTTCCAGTTTGTGCCAACTGCAGGGTGAGACTACACTCAAGTGTTGGCTGAGCCCAGGGGGCCGAGGGCTCACAGGGCTGGCTTCTAGAAGGCACACCTTCAGCCGAGGCCAGACCATGAAGAGCAAGAAGCCGAGGAAAGGCTGATTTACTGCTTTAAAAAAGCACGAAAATAAATATAAAAAGTCAAGCTGGTTAGCTTAATTTTGTGCCACTTCTTTAACGGTGAGAAAAATAAGTTCTATTATATAATACAACTTACTAAAAAAAACTAGCTATAAATTATAAATGACTCAAGGTTTCCTTAGGCAGCTTATTTATTTGTTTACAATTGTACTATCTGGGTGAAAGGTCCTTTGTGGACCTAGGCAGTTATGTTCCACATGTATTACCTTGTACCAAAGGTCTTAATGAGAAGTATCACCCACAATCTTGTTCTCTAAATGTCAAATAAAGAATATTTTCACTAGATTCACCTGTATAAAAGCTATTTTATATGTACTAGAAAATGTACAAATATATAACTACTGAGTATTTTCATTCACAAAATATCCTGACAATTGACAATGTCAAACGCAGTCAGTCAGGTGGGAATAGTGCAGTCCGCTCACCATTCACGCTACCGCACAGAGCGTTTGAGCTGTTCAATCCGTGCTTGCAGTGCCTCCATTTCTGCCAGAAGCCAGGGTGGCGCAGGAGCCTTTTGGAGCAGTGACTCAGTGACCTCTAGGCCCTTTTCTGCTGTTTGCAAAGCTGACCTATACTGTTCTTCCAAGGGGAACTCATGACGAGCTCTTTTTGTGCAAGTCTGGAAAAGGGAGGAAAATGTGTCAAGTCAAGCTGTGACACAGTAATGACCTTTCTAGTGTGCAACTCAGGACAAGACTCCTCCCCAGTCCTCTGGAACAGGAGGTGCAGGTGCTTCTCTACTGTCACAATGAAGGGACTCCTCGCAGTGTTCGCAAAGGCAAAGCAATGTTTAATAATTCCCAGTGGGCATTCCTTCAATGTAGCTCAATCTTTTCTTAGAAAAATGTTCCAAGTGTGAATGTTTTTTCTCAACTCTAAAGAGAACTATAGTCTTTCAGATGTTTTTGTAGCTATCTGAAAAATCAGGCTTTCAAACACTGCACAGGGAGGGAAGAAGTCAGGACATCCTTCATTATATAAGTCTTCCCAAGAAATGTCATAACAAATCTAAATTCCTAAGGGCTTATTTCCCTGATATACTGAACTTTACAAATTTCAGGCACAAAAAGTTACATTCCTTACAATTTATCATAAACTTACAAAACTAGCCAAAACATTGTTCTTATCTTTTTTTTTTTTTTTTTTTGCATTTAGTACCGGGTCTCACTATGTAGACTGGACTCAAAACTGATTCCCCCGTTTTCAATCTATCAACCTCTGGGATTACAGACGCACACACCACCACACCCAGTCTCAGGGCCCTTGGGGGTGGGGCCGGCATGGCCTGCTGGGGATCGAACCCTGGTCCCTGTGTCTGCCTAAGCAGGCGTTTTAATCCACTGAGCTATCTGGCCAGCCCAAACCATTGTTCCTATTGTAGCTAACTATTCCAAATAACTACCAGTTCCCAATATTTTCAATATCCCTAGTGTTATCACTTTTGCTTTTTAATGGATAAATGAAATTTTTTGACACTGCCAAATATAATTAGCAGGCCAGTTTGATTAATACAGCAAAGGATCAAACTAAACATTTCAGAAGGTAAGTTAGATGATTTTCTGTTCTTTCATGAAGATTACCTAGATTTTTAAAAGATTAAGTTTTACATGTTTAGATCTATTTAGCTTGAAATTCAATGTGAGGAGAAGCATCAAACCAAAATAGAGCCAGGCCTGGTGCTGCACACCTGTGATCTCAGCATTTGGGAGACTGAGGCAGTGGACTGCTGAGAGTTTGAGGCCAGCCTGGGCTACAAAGCAAGACCCTGTCTCAGAAAGGAAAAAGAAAAAAAAAAAGAACCAAAGTTTTTGTTTTATCAGTAAGGGCAGAATGTCCCCTTGTTAAAGTTTGACACATACTGTTAGGCAGCCTATACCTGTAGCGATGACCACTTTGTTACTTCTACAGACACTTTAGCAGAGGGTTCCCTGAAGATATCTTTTTCCTGTTTCACACGTTCCACTTTGGCAGCTTCAGTCTCCTCTATAAACCCAGTCTACCAAAGACCACAAAAACACAAGTAAATACCAATACATTTGCATTCTCTACTAGATAGAAAATAATAGAAGATGAAAAGACCAAATAAATGTTTTGATGTATATGTCAATGCTGAGTGCTGAACAGACTGGCTTGACCTGTGAATATGGCAACTTTTAGAAATACAGTAGCTTGACCTATGAATGCTTAATTCTTAGGACAGTTTGGATTAAGTCCATCTACAGTGTTCTTCTTTACACAAAAACTGTAGAGTCCACTTTCTGACTTTGACTAGAGGCAAAGACAGTGGCAAAAGCAAAGTAAACACAAAATCCAACTTAGATGAAAAATGTAGCAAATATGTAATACATATGTTACAAAATTTCTTTCATAGGTACCATTAGCACCATTAAGTCTTCTAAGTGCAAAACCACAGGATCCTTGTGATGCAAAGTACTAGTTCTGCGTATCTATAAAAACACTTAAAAATGTCACAGTCTTAGAAAAATAGATACTAGCTTCAATCAGGGCATAAGCCCACACCTGAATTAAACCTTATGTTAAAAAAAAATTTCCAATTGCATCAAGAGTCCCTAATTAAAAAAAAAAAAAAAAAAAAAAGAGTCCCTAATTAGGACAAGCATCATGACCTCACCCTGGGTTGCTAGTGTTACCCAATCCCACACTATGGCAGAGCATGCTGGGCATCTCACTTCTCTGTCACGTGCTGAGTTTCCCTTGCTGGAAGTCCTTGGGAACCACAAGGTTTTAGACAAACAGGGTATTTGGGGATAGGACTTGAGTCTAAACACAGTCTTATGTTTAATACACAGGTAATTTTACATATTTTTAATAATTTTCTGCACAAGGGCCAGCCAAATAGCTCAGGGGATTAAAGTGCCTGCTTAAGCAGAAGCAGGGGCCAGGGGTTCGATCCCTGCCATGCCAGCCCCTACCCAGGGGCGCATGGAAACAGTGATTGAGACTGGGTGTGGTGGCATGTGCTTGTAATTCCAGCTCTTGGGAGGCTGTAAACAGGCAGATCACTATGAATCCGACCTAGTAGTGAGACCCTGACACCCTTCCTAAAATACAAAAAACAAAAAAAAAAAAAAATTTTTCTGCACAAAAAGTGTCATCATGTGGAATTTATCATTTGTGGCACCGTGTTGGTAGCTCAAACTGTTAAGATTTTGGAGCATTTTGTACTTAAGAATGTTCAGCCTACGTTATCATTGTGCTGAGCTGAGCTGAGCACTCTGGAAATTTTAAACCAAGTCATAACAATACCATTTCAAACCAAACAAAGGTGATATGAAACAGAATAAAACATGAACAAAGTAAGTACCTTCTCTAAAAAGGACACGACTTTGTTCTTAGTTTCCTCAGAACTGAGACACTGTGGCACTATCTCTTCATGATTTGTTCCCTATTAAAAGATAAACAACACTGATATTGGCAGCTTGCAAAGACAAGTAACATGTTTTAAGAGTTACTCTAATTAAAAATGTACTTGAGAATATTAAGTGTCACTTAAAAACAATAAGCTCATTGTATTTTCAAGGTTCCTCAAGATAATACAATGTTAACCTCTACAAATTTAGTATTGCAAAGTACAATTACTAAAGCAGGGGGTATGCTGTTCAACAACACAGAAGAGTAAAAAGGCAACCCATGCCAGGTCACTTCCCCAAAGATCCAAAGTAACAAGCTTCACTCAGTTCATCAACCTATCCCTGGTGATAGTTCAGGGTGAACCCAAAAGTACTAATTAGAGGGCAGTGTAAGTTAGTAGGCCTACTTAAAATGTCTGTTCCCATTCCCTACTGAGAGAACCTGAGGAAAGTTGTTTCGTTTCTCTAGGCCTCTTTGATATCCTGCAACAGATAATTAGTAATGTCACCTCCAGAAGAAAATTTTCAAGTAAGATATAGAAGCATCTCATTAGAAATATCTGCATTGTTCTGGAATATTAGAAATACTAAGAAAAGTTTCATTTGTTTGTTTTTGGCCATACTGGGGAATAAGCCCAGGACCTTCACACTGCGCAGTATTGTTTTTTGAGACAGATCTCCCCAAGTTGACCAGGGTGGGCTTAAACTTGAGATCCTTCTACCTCAGTTTCCCAGAATGTTTGACTAGTGAGATGTTTAGAAGTCACTGTAGTCATACAATTACCTCAGCAAACTGAGTAAATGCCTCCAGGGTGTGTTGTTCCAGCAGCCAGTTCTTATCAGCTAGCAATAAGGCAAGAATGCAAGACAGGTAGGGCAAAATTTTGTTCTAGAAAGAGAACCAAAACCTTATGAAATACAGAAGAAACCACAGGACATTCCAGTGCCCAATGTTGTCAACTTTCTAGTGAATGTTATACAAAATGTGTTAGGTCATTTCACTTTGCAAATTCTTCTAAGAGCTTTGCATTTCCTTCTAGTAAAGCTGCTGGCTTCACAACGTCCCAGAATATCACATGATCAGGGTGCTCCCACCTCAAGAGACTCTGCACTTACTGTGGTCCCTGTCCCTGCTCAGCACTCTGTCCCCAGACACTGAACAGCTTGCTCCTCACCCTTACTGTCACAGCAGTAACCACTCCCACTAGCTCCTGTTTTGAACTGTATTCCCAAATATACAAGTACCCCCACACACTTTATTTTTCTTCTTAGCACTTATTACCACTTAACATACGGTATGTATCACCAATTTACTTCCTGTTGTCTCTCAACAAGCTGAGACTGGTGATTTACTAGTTCATTTACTGTATCACCAGTGAATGAAAACAGCATCAGACACAGTAACAACTCAATTCTTTTTTTTTTTTTTTTAATTTGGATAAAAAAGGTAATCTCATTCTGTGGCATTAAATATCTCTTGTATGCTGCCCAATCCCCAACATTCTTCAAGCATGACCTAGGGAATGTGTCAAGCACTGTGACTCCTGACAAACATCTACTCCAAAAGTTCGGGGACAATTCAAGGTCTGCAGCTGTACATCAATAAAGAAGCACACTGGAATACATTTATGGTAAAAGATGGCTTAAACACATGTATCTTTAGATAGCTTTGCCAAGAATAAAAAAGAAACTGTCAACAATCAAACTTAGTTCAAGAAAGAGAGCTTTACCAATTGTGTAATGTCATTCACTTGAGTAAAATACCATGGTATCTCAGTTCAGGAACTTAATTCTTTCCACAATTCTGTTCACAAACCAAACTGCACGAGAACCAAATCAAATTCAATGGTTAGGTTCAGTGTTACCCCTTATGGGGAAATTTTTGGTTTCAAAGACTTTAACCAGTAGGTC